GGAACACCGCTTGTGACTGGCTGCCAGCCGGTTTTAACACCATTCACCATGGAGGAAGGGAAAAGGAGGAGAAGAAGGGAGGAAGTGCATGTGGTGATTTTAATAGCATTTCAGTTTTGCATTAGTTTTAGCTGGACGTTAAACTATTCTTTATTAACAGCTTTTTCCAAGCCAGTGCAGTAGAATTAATTACCTTTTTCTTCTCTCAGAATGCCATTTCTGAGGAGTTAACTTCATCAGCACTGTTAAATGACTGGCCTGCCGTATGATTTCCCTGGCTCCCACCTGGGCTAAAGCCCATTTTAGGACTAGTTTGATTTTGAATTGGATTGCATAAATGTTCTTAAGTGACCTTAGAAAACCTTATGCTCCTGGAGTATACGATCATTTCCAGTGTTTGAATATCCCCCCAAAAATTCTTTGTGCTTAAATGCTAGCTGCCACCACGTTCTTGGCCTCTCCTCACGGAAGTTTCTAAAATTGTCCCAAGTTTAAAATTGTCAGATTGCTTAAAAATTTTGAAGGATGCTTGCAGATGGCCAGTTAAATTCAGGACCAGCTCTTGCAGGCATAGCTGTCTGATTTGAAACAAAGGAGCCAGTCAGCAGTTGCGATGAAATATTACCAATCAGGTGTGAAATATGCTTTCGTCAATACTGTAACCAAGCCCTTTTCAGATGCTGGCTTTGCTTATAAATTGCTGTTCCAGTGTATAGATACCCTGTACTTTTCAAGAAAGCTTGATTAGAAAAATTGATTAGGATAAAATTCACACTTTAGGTTGGTGAAGGCCACCTCCAGTTACCACAAGAATTTTCAGGAAAGGGATCAAGGTTTCCCCTTTATTTGAAGGCTTTGGATTCCCCTGAGTGTGCCCAAAACTGGAAACTCGGGAAGCACGAGAAGTATTGAAGCAGTTCTCCTGATGACAGACTAGCTGCCCAGCCCCTAGACCACTCTTATCTCATACAGCCCACAGTTGGGATTAACTGGGATTTGGAGGGTAGGGTCAGCACAGACAAAGAGATTCTTCCCCTTTGATACATCTTTTATAAGGAAAATTAATTTAAAAAATACATTCAGATGTTTCTTTACTATAAAGTTGCAGTTACATGTCAGCTATGGAAAGAATTTAAGGGTAAGGTATTGGTTCAAATTTAGTAAACCACAATTTTGGCAATTTCTTGATAATGTTCTCTTCCTGTTCTGTCTGAATTATCTGAAGTTCTAGAGTATATAATAACTTTTACTGAAACTTTTTTCACATGAAAAACTAGCAAAATCAAAGATAGAAACCCAATAAAGAGATTTTATTTTTCCAGTATTACTTCTTAATAATTGAAAGCTCTTGCCTGAGAGAGTGAAAAAAGCGAAGTGCTCATAAATTAGTTACCTGTTACCAAAATTTAAAAAAACACAATAGCATTAATGTAGCTGTGAGAGTGAAAGTAGTGAGCAATTTTTCTTTCAGTCTGTTTAATATTAAACTGCTGACCTGTGAAACATGGGTAATTAAACGGCAAGATCAGAATGCTGAAGGCAGCTTTGCTTCTCCTTTTAAATTTGCTGATGCAATTTAAACTACATCCCTTACCATGTTCTTGCTTTCTGGGAACCTCCAGTGACTGATAATGCCACTGTCCTTCTTTATCTATTAGCAAACAAAATTCACCTGCTATGCATGTGAGTGAATATGCTGACGTGTCTCCTCTTTGTGAACTGTTTAAACTTTTAGATCTGTTCAGTGTGTAATACCTGGAAATTGCTATCATCTTCTAATTGGTGAGACGAGGGATTCAGACAGGGAATATTGGCATCGCTCTCAGGCTCTGAATTCAAAGTATCTTGTTTCAGTGGCATCCAGATGCCAATTTATAAAAGAAATGCTATTGTTCTGCATTGTAGCATTTTTTTGGAGACAATTTTAAAAAACAGAGGTTCTGGTGGGGGGTAATTGTTACTGGTTGTTGGTGGCTTTTTTCCTTCTCGCTATCTCATTTGCATCTGACACAAATTCTGTTACTGCCTTGAGCAGCTGCGCTATGTCACACTTTTTTTTTTTTTTATTGTGGGCAAAAGGAAGGAACTGCTGCTAACAATTTGTGTTTTAACAGGATGGGAAAACAGCAGAAGATCTTGCCAGAGCAGAGCAGCACGAGCATGTAGCCAGTCTGCTTGCAAGACTTAAAAAGGTTGGGAATGCATTAATTTTAACTGTGATATCTTTCATGTTTTTAAGAAAACCAAGAAAAGTTTGGGAATGGGAAGTAGTACAATAAGATATTCATCAAAGCCATTCTAAAAAGCTGTTGCAAAAATAATTCCTGGAATAGTGAGGGGTTTTTTCCCCTCTTCATTTTTAATTTGAAATTATGCCCTCAGTTCAAGCTAGTATGTATGCATTAACAAAGATGGCTAAGCAAGTCTGCAGCACTGATCTATTTTATCCTGTCTCTGACAATGCCTAGCAAAGCATCTAAGGAGTTTAGAAGAAACTGGAAAATCCCATAAGAGGATGTATTTCCCCATCACTGGTTAGATTACAGTTATGAAGTATGAGGCGTTTGTGCACCTTCTGGAAACTCTAATACCATGTGGAATAGTTGCCTGAGTTCTCAATGTCTTTTTTTAATTCTGCGATTTCAGTATCTCCAAATCCCCTGACAGCTAGAATGCAAAGGTGATCTGGACTTGTTGTAAGGCAGCAAGTCTGACATGTCTGATACGCATTGATTATTCTGGATAGGCAGCATCACTCATGCCATGAAGGTTCAGAGGCCACTCGCCTGGAGATTCCAGGCAACAGCCAGACCAGTTGAAAGAGTACTGTTTTAATTATGCTGTGGAAAACTGAAATGAACGACTATTTCAGAGTAGCAATAGAACATGGTGTGTACCAGGTATTGCCAAGGTGGAAGTAAAATCATGTCCTTCAGTCCCACCAGTAAACCTATACTTGCTAGGATGGTAAACTACATCGGTGAAGATGTCAGAAAGTGCCACAGTTCAGGCTTCCTTTGCAATGATAGGATTTGTCATAACAGGATCTGTTTTGCATAGTTGTATCCCCACATGGAACCCTTGCCTGTTTCTGCATGCAGATGGATAAATTTGTGCTTTAGTCATGATGTAAATACAGAACTAATATGAGTTGACCTAGAACAACAGGGAGAGGATCAGATAAATCTCTTCTGAAAGAGATGTTAGTAGCTGTAACTCTCTTCTTGATAGCAGAGTATACTTAATTATTAAAGGCCTGCCTATATATATGGGGAAAATGTATGATAGTTATATACTTCATTGGAGTATACTTTGCAATAGAGAATTTGATCCATGGAAATTAATAAACTACATCAAAACACTGAAAATATTCTACTACTACACAAAATGGTAAACATCATCTAGCAGAGAGCATACCTGACACTTATTTTCAGTGCCTTTGGAGGGTTTTGTCCCTAATAGCACACACATGAAGAACCTACTGTCATAGTAGGTTTTGCAGAGGATTTAGTATTAACCATGAGGGGGTGCAGTATTTGCATTGTGACTAACTTACTTAATAAATGCCTGTTAGCAAGGAAGGAACTAAATTATATGTGCTATTATTTCTGTCAAATTTCTCAGCTTAATTGCTGCATGCTTATAATTTGGAGAGGGGCTGTAGGTGCTCGTTTAATGACTCATCCTGCATATTAAACTCTACAAATGCAGAAGAACAGAGCCTCTCTCTCAGCTCCAAATGGGGGGATGAAGGAAGGGAGGATGAACCTAGTTCCTTTGCTCTTCCACCTTTCTGTCTCCTTGTTTCTTTAAAACAGGTCTTTCTGTGGCAAGAGATAGTTGGTAGTTTGCTGTCCTGCAGCATCCCCTTGTTGAATTGATTTTTCAAGCTCAGCTTCTGTGAGAAATGGAGCATCCATGTCTGATCGCCTCTTGCTGGGCAAGGAGAAAAGACGGGTTTGATTTTTTCATTCCCAATACTGTCTTTGGCAGGAACTGAGGGAGTATCCTTCAGATACTACAAGACAAGATACAGAGAGGTAGTGGGGGGAGCTCAAAGTGGAAAGCTCCTCTGTAGGAGATGTGATTGGGTTTGAGGAAGGCCTGTGTAGGAGGATGAGATGGCAGCTGTGGAAGAGACCGTGAATGCACACAAAGGGCAAACTGCAAGAGGAGTATTAAGTAAGAAGGCAGATCTATTGAGGCCTGTGAGTAAAGAGGGAAACCAGTCTGGAGGAAGGTGAATAGTATGTGAGAGGTCTTTTAAGATAAAGAAGAGTAAGTGGGAAAGGAGAGTTGAGAGTGGTCTGGGAATAGCAGTATTTACCTTGCAAAGAATTGAAGTGGAAATAAACAGAGAACTGGGTGGGGGGAGAAGGCAGAAGAGAACTCTCCCAAATACAACTAGCACAGAAAAAGTTGATGTAAAGAAGAGGGGAAATGCACATCAAGTTTTCAGATTGCTCAGGTGGTAGCTGTCACTGGAAAATTCTTCAATGCTGCATGTATATTGTGTAAGATTATGGATATTGGTTAGGCTACTGAATCACAGAGAATCACAGAATCATTAAGGTTGGAAAAGACCTTTAAGATCATCAAGTCCAACCATCAACCCAACACCACCAAGTCCACTAAACTGTATCCTGAAGTGCCACATCTACACATTTTTTGAACACTTCCAGTGATGGTGACTCCACCACCGCCCTGGGCAGCCTGTGCCAATGTCTGACCACTGAGACTCATAGGTCAGGAGAATGGGAACTTAAAGAAGCTAGCTTTTTCCCCTTTAGCCTCTCCATCAGAGGTCAAAACGATCTCATTCACTGATGTTGAGCCTGAAGTCATGTGTGATTTTCACAAAGACTCAAGTTGGCTCTTGAGAACAAGCACTCAGCTGTGCCTTGTTTACCTGTCCCTGCCCTTCTGCCAGTAACTGATCACTTGCATGATAAAGCAGATGGAGAAACTGATCCAGATGAACACCAGCCTGGGAAGAAAGCTTTATCTAAACCCAGTGTTTTGAGTTTGTTGGGAGGCAGAAGTTCTCTGACACACATTCTGATTCCTTCTTTATGTTGAATTTTAGGATACGCACCGGGGCCTTTTTATCCAGCAGCTGCGGCACACACAGAATCCTCAGCCCCGAATCAAACTGAAGCTGTTTGGACACTCTGGTGCTGGGAAAACAACCCTTGTGGAGTCTCTCAAGTGTGGCCTGATACGAAGCTTTTTCCGAAGACGTAGGCCTAGGCTCTCCTCCACAAACTCAAACAGATTCCCCCCATCTCCTTTGTCTTCCAAACCTTCAGGTATGGCTTCAAAGCTGTAATGTTTGAACTAGAAAACATTTTCCTCTTAGTTTGCGTAGCTCCTAAGGAAGAACTGCTAGCTGCATGGCAAAAGACAGTACAGGCTAAGTGTTTAAGAAAGCAAAGCAAGATGGAGATGGTATTGACTTCTCCGTGCACAGGCTCATACCTAAAGTAAGAGTGAAGAGGAGCAGCAGATGTGGAAGGTGTAGGCGTAGTTAAGGTTTTGTTTACTCACATGCTGCATAAGTGAACTTGTAGAGTGGAGACAGGACTTGTGAAGACTAGTGTTTATTTTTCTCAAAAAGTCCTAGGCTATGAACACCAGTGTCATGACCAGAGTCCACCATCGTGGTTTTGGGGATTATATTTTGTCAGCCTTATTGTTTGAGTAGCTTAAATGAACTCTGTGCAAAATTGAAACAGTTGCTGCATCTTTATGTGATCTTTAAGTAATAACAGAGGATTCAGAACTGCTTCTGATGCCATGGATTGCTTTTCCGTAAGGTACAGGAGTGGATTAGCCCAGTTAGAGGTGTCTAAAATTGCTTCCAAACAAGGTAAAAATGGAGGTTTTTTTAAACTGAAGTACATGTGTGCAAATAATAGGGAAACTTTGCCCATGTAGCACAAGTTGGCCTGTGTGAAGTAAGAAGAGCTGCAGGGTGTCAAGGAAAAAGCTAGGTTTGCACTTCAACATGTGCCAAGCTTTGGAAGAACCCACAGTTGCAGCAAAAGGTCACTGCAGGTTGTGTTCTTCCAAGATAATATTTGCAGATTTAGGTTTCATTCATTATTTTTAAGTAATGTTAGAACAGTGCCAGTGGTGCTTATCTCTAGTCGCATGAGGAAACTGTAAGGTACTCACAGAGTGGCTTAACAAGACCAGATACCTGGCACAAGAGATTATTACAGCATTTACTGTTCACTTAACACCAGGTGTCCACATCTGTGACAGAATAAAGAAATTGATTAAAAGAATTAATCAGAAGTTCTTGACTTATTTCTCTTAATTTACTGTGTCATACAAGGGGAGGTAAGTCACTCAAGCAATATCAGTTCCTGGAGGCAGTGCAGGAAGGTTTTGACTGAAGAGAGGTTTGGGTTTTTTTAAATTGGTTGGTACCAGAACCAGAGGATAGGTGTTATGCGTTCACACCATCATAAAATGAGGCAAGACTGCCAGTCACATTGGCAAATCATTATAGAAATAATGCTGAATTTGAAGCATCCACTTAAAAATAGCTTACCTAGATATAAAGCTCGGAAGTTGTGTAGTGCTGTGCATGCTTGTAAGTTGTGCATTTCTATGTAAACAAAGCTACTATGGTGTTGTTTTAATGTTTGGATTTTTGGTTTTTGCTTGTTTCAGTATCTTCTTTTTGGATTAAAATTCTTATCTAACATATAAGTGATGATATGGGTTGAGTGGCATAATCAGATAAACATTTAAACCAGCAGAGTTTGGTCTATACTCGATCATGTGCTTAGGTTTGTTTAAATTCTGTAAAAATAAGTGTGTGAATTCACCATGTATTTATTTACAAGAGCCTAAATATTTAAATGAAATTATAGTTATACAGCTGCCAGGTAGTTTATTTCTATATTATAACCCAAATATTAGAGTTCAGCGTTTAGTGGAGGAACGAAATCCTTACTTTGTCCACTAGATGGTGCAAGTCAGTTAAAAAGCCCTTTTGTTTGTCATTTACTCCTCGGAATTTGAATTGAGTATGAGCTAAACAAATTACTTACTAGTAAAATAATTTTGGTTAAGGGCCTGCTTTTCTCCCCTACCTCCCCAGGAAACAGTTGTTACACAGTGATATTTTTATCCTTACTTACAGGAACCAACTATATGAATATGTAGCATTTCCATGACAATAAAACCAGCCCATGCTATGAACCTGCAGCCCTTAGCTAAAAAAGCAGTGTATCTGCCACATAGAAGAACTTTAACTGTTGAAACCTCTAGTTCTGAAACAATTCATTTTTTTTTCTATGCTTCCCACCTAGCGATCTATCTGCTAAAGGGCAGTAAGTGTTAGAGGGGATCATTCTAAGATTGCCCTTTTCATCATTCAGAATAAGGATGTAGTTGTGTACGCTCATAGCTTGGTAGTCATCTCCTTTCTTTGAAGAGCAGTAAGGTTTTTTTAATCAGCTTTTATGCCTTGCATACTTATTTCAAAGTTAACTGGTTGTGATTTTCACATGGTTTGTAATCTCATTTTCCTTTCCCTGACCCAGTTTCAGTAAGCATTACAAATCTTTATCCTGGTTGTGAGAATGTCAGCGTGAGAAGCCGTAGTATGATGTTTGAGCCGGGCCTGACCAAAGGGGTATTAGAAGCTTTCGTTTCACCTGCTCATCACTCTCATTTCTCTGCTGATGACCAGTCCACCAAGGCCATTGACATTCAAAATGCCTGCTTGCATGGTAAGCAGAGCCCTGGGCTGGCATGCCTTAATGCTGTGGGACAGTTAATGCCATGTTGCTTGGTTTTTGTTTTTTTTTTTTAAATTAAAATCTGACTTGTTGTGGTAGTGACTGTGATTGAGAATCCAAAATTGGTGGGGTTTGGTTTGTTTAAGCAGAAAGTGAATCTGCATTAATTTCTCTACCTGTAATACACATAGTAATCACTTGTGTCAGATCCTTATACACAGAAATGTTTTTGAGATGAATGAGTGGGACAGGAGGAAAGAGGGATTTGGTATAATAGGAGTGGGTTGGCAGACCAGCTGCTAGTGTGAAGGCGCCTTCACCTATACTGTGTGTTGTTTGGGTATTTTATCAGGTTTAATCTGGTCCTCTAGACCCAAGTTTCCTCACCAGGTAAGTAGTTCCCAGCTGTATGAAGGACCTACCATTCTTGCCTTATGACAGGGCTGGAGCATGTTTGGTGAGCACTGGAGCTCAGCAAACATGGTGAGTGGAGCTTCTGATTTCTTTTTTTGAAAGGAAGCTAAGTGCTCTGCAGATGAAACCAGTTAGCAGTAAGAGAGGGCAGTCAGAGAAGTTGTCGTAAGTACATATATGGCTTTTGACTGCGAAGACCAAACAAACGGTGCATATACACCACCAACCATACTGGTAGTTATATAGGTGGTAAGATCTCTCCCAGCAGGATCTCTTCTTAATAAAGAAAATGTTTTGTGTGCATTAGCAGCTGCAATTTTGAGGCCGAGTTAGGATTAGTCAAGATTTTATTTTGGAGAGAGAAACCTATTTATGAATGCAGTATATGCACACTACACATGGAGTGACACAACATTTTCCCTAGATGCTGAAGAGTTTGGCATGTAGCTAAGGCTTGGTCTTTGTCCTGGCTCATTTCCTCTTTCAGTGTAAGTTGAAACCAAGTCAATTGCTGCAGTGAAGTAGAGTTGTGCAACAGACTGTTAGAAGGGGTTTCTTTTCTTTGTGTGCTGTCTTGATATAGAAGGAAAGTGTGCACATGGGTGAACTCTGAACAGCAGTACTCGTAACAGCAGATTTGAGGTTTCTGGCTGCTTCTAGAAGTTTGAGGTGCATCTTAATCAGCCTTTATTTAAATAGAGGTAGTACAAGTACGTCAGGCTTCACACTAATCCGATGGTGAGCCTGGAAAGTGCCATACAATGCAACACAGTAATGCTTTTCTCACCTGAAGCTGAAGGAGATGGCAAAAAGCACAGTGCTGTTGGGATCCTTAACATGGTGATTCTTCAGTCCTGACTTAACTGTGATGTGAATAGTACAATTCTGTAAAGAAAAGTGGCTTGAGAATGTCCCTCAGCTGTTTTTAATACCAGCAGTGTCATGTTAAAAAGAAAAATTAACGAAAATGTTAAGGCTTTTGGGGTGAGTAGGAGAAGAATGGGCGCTGTTACTCATGTTTTTCAAGGGAATTAAAAGAGCCATTGCTGTTGTGCAAGGCAAAGGCCAATTTAATGAGTAAGGCTGCATGCGTTTAACACACAGGTGCTTTCATGTGGCATCCAGCTGAATGTCCTAGAGAAGTGAATGCGAGAGAGGAACAGATTTTGAGAACCCAACTTCTCAGCCTCTGAGACTGACAGAAATCAGTTTCCTTCGTTCATGATGGCATTTGCAGTCTTGTTTTCTCACATGCATACCGTTTATCTTTGTGAAAGTTTAAATCAGATCAACTCTCTTGTTTGTCTTTCCATGGCAGGAAGATGCTTCATGCTTACTAAGTGATCTCCTCATCTCTTTGTTTTTCAGGAGTTGGTGATTTCAGCATCTGGGAATTCTCTGGGAATCCTGTGTATTTCTGCTGTTACGATTATTTTTCTGCAAATGATCCCACTGCAATTCACATAGTGCTTTTTAGTCTTGAGGAGCCTTATGAAATCCAGTTAAACCAAGTGACCTTTTGGCTCAGTTTCCTGAAATCCTTAGTCCCAGTTGAGGAGCCAATAGGTATGCTTTTCTGCCTGTTAATGAAATATTAGGGAACTATAAGATCAAGCTTCTTGTGTTTCTCTGCAACTTTGTACATCCTCTGTGTTAAGTGCTGTTACGTGTCTTCATCCCCATGTATTCAAACGAACTTTACACGAGGTTTCTTAGAGAAAGGGAATTTTATCTGTGGAACAAGCCTGAAGAGTTGTACACACCACTTAGTCCAGCTAAAAAGGGTCTTAAGGGTATCGTGCAGCCTCTTGTGGCACTGGGCTTTACATCCGTAAATGGCAGATGAAGTTTTATGTCAGATAAGCTGCATGGAAAAGTGTTTCAGAGGGTTAGATGCATTTAAAACTAGTTTTAGACACATTGCTTAAATTCTACTTACATCTAACCTAAATTAACGGTCTTTCCAGCATAACTTAGTCTTGTCAGTGAGAACAGGACAGAACAACATTGTGGAGTGGCATTACCTGTCAGTACAGGCTGCTTTAACATGTTTAACTAGAGTTATATTTGGAATTCAAAGATGTTAAACTTTGGTGCATCAAAGGTGTACAGAAAAGAGTATTTCTAGTAAATTTCTCTTCACATATTCTCAGACTTTGCACAGGTTTTAAGTAAGATTTACTTGTTTTATATTCAAGCTTTCTAACAAACTGAAAGTTACTTGGCAGACAAACAAATCAGTTTAAATAAATAGCCAAAATATTATTCCAGCCAGTGGTTCTAACTCAACGCTCATGGACATGTATAACAGTGCTAGGGACTTGCCAGACAAGCATATCAAATACTTACATAGTGCAAAGAGTATTTCCCCTCTCTCTTTGTCTTCTACTCCATTCTGTATGCATTATCTCAGCCAGATAGTGATAATGATGAGCTAAGGCAGACCTTCAGTTTTCAGTTCAGGCATCTGCATGTCCTTGATTTTCCATTTTAGGTTAAATTACAAGGTTAACAATATAAATGTTTGGATCTAACCAACATGAAATTAATTCTGGAAGTAAAGGCTCAGAAATTTGCAGAAAAGTATCAAAGCTGAAGATACAGTTAAGTTGCAATTGCTGAAAGCTTTTCACGGCTCCTCAGTGAAGCAAGGAAACTTACTTCTTGGTTTGACTGAGTTAGAATCTGAGTTAATTGTTTCTTCTTGCTGATCTAATTATCAGCATTATTTAAATACTTTGCTTAAATCAGTGTTTATACTGGTCAGCTCAATTTGGGTGCCCATGCATTTTTGTGCTATTACAAATATCTCAAGTAATATGTAGTAACTGATGTTAGCAGAAAACTGAAACTTTTGGAATTAACTTTCCAGTTATTTTGTCCAAGTCCTTTAGCTGCCAAAAAAAAATCTACCATTGTGAAAAATTTACCTTGAAGTGCTATGCAGAGATTTGGGAAGATGTGGCTTTTTATGAATGTATCAAGATTCTGTAGCGCTTAGTTGATGAAAACTGAAGAGTGATGTAAGCTTATTTCTCCCATATGAAGTTTTGTCAGACAAAAACAGCAGGATCGGATGTATTGTCTTTTTTAAAAATAGTCTAATGATGTCTTCTCTTTTCTGGAAGATCAGTTTGAGAAGAGATTGAAAACTGTGTGTTCCATACTGTCATCTCATTCATGCCATTTGTATCTTTCTTTCTTTCTCATTCTTTTTTGTGGTTTCTGCCAGGCTTTCCTACTTAACTCTCACCTAAGTGAGAGTTCATTGTTTGTGTAAGTACTGCAAAATAGCATTCATACCAATGTATGAATGTTGTAGACGTTTTGTGTTCTACTTATAACCCTGTACTCTGCACCTGTAGTATTAGCAACTATCCAAAGATTATGAGAAACCCTTTCAAGAAGCTGTTATTTTTAATTATTTTTCTTCACACTGCCATAGTTTATAGTTAATAGATATATCTTTAGTGTTATTGATTAATGTCCCTGTTAAAACAATAAAGTAATCTAGTATCAATGTATCTGATGTTATTCAATCAGTCTAGCTATTCAAGTTGGACACTATATACATAATGCTAAAGGCAAATAACAGCCAAAGTGCCAGTTTGGCTATGCTTAGGGTTGGTAAATCCACTGCAAAAGTGATTGGTATGAATATAAAATGTATTGCTACTTTCCTGGCTCAGTAAGACAGCCATCTCTATAGGCTCATAGCGAGGGAGTGCTCTTGTTTCTCTTCTAGCATTTGGTGGAAAGCTGAAAAGTCCCCTCCGTGTTGTTTTGGTTGCCACACATGCTGACATAGTGAATCTTCCTCGGCCTGTTGGGGGAGAGTTTTGGTATGACAAGGATATGTCATTGTTGAAAGAAATCAGAAACAGGTGAGTGGAGAGTGTATTTATATGTAGCATTTAAATATGTCAATTGGAAAGAAAAAATACTAAAATACATAGAAATATGTAAAAAGTTTTTACGTGGCTTAGGCTTGATGATATTTTGAGTATGTCCAGGGAGTTTACATTGTGCAAGAATAGAAACATTTACCAGTATTACAGTGAGCGAGCTGCTTTAAGTGAGTTAAAGTGAGCCAAGTGGTGCAAAAAATGAGTTGAGGCTCAGGAAGTCTCACCCTGCAAACACTGGGATACATCCAAAGGCCCGTATCAGCCATCTGTCTGACATCTTGGTACTCAGGTTTTGTACCAGTTTCAGAAAAGTGGGCAGCTCTCAGCTGCAACCTCTGGGTACAAAAGAGGAAGCCTTACAGGAGAACCATCCTTTGCTCTGAATTGATGTAGGGTGGGTAGGAAAAAGCTTAAACCAGGCCTGGTTTGTGAAGAGGTGGACATTGTGGAGTCCACAATGGACAAGGTCATCCAAGAGATATCTAAAAGTTAGGGAAACTTCTAGCCTTCCTCAGAAAATGTTTGGAGAGCATGCTAATTGTACATGGAAGTAGGGAATTTTTCATGAACATGCTACTGTATAAAGTAACAATAGCTTATATTCACAGTTGGCACATAAGTAACACGTGGTACAAGGAACTATCCATACCTGTGAGCATAGACACTTCTCTGGACTGTACAAGAAACAGGTGTAGGAATTTCAGCACAATAGTAGCAGGGCAGTATCTTGATCAATTGAAATAAACCAACAGAAAATACCTGTGTATAATCTTTGGTGTTGGGATCCTTTTAAAGGCAAATCAGTCCAGAGCTAGGAAAGTACGTGTGGTTGAAAAGTCAAAAGGAAGTGAGAAAGAGAGCTAGTGTCAATAACAGTGACAATTGAACTATTTAAAGTGAGAAGAAAGAAAACAACAAATACGGAGACCTTAAAAAGAATTAATTCCTTCTATTCTTTCTCTAGTAAAATGTTGGGGTTTGTCAGTACAAGTCCTGTAATGCAGTTGTAATTTTCATAGACATCTTCAGCCATCTTATTTAGGAAAGACAACAGTTTTCTCTCAATATCTGTGTCTATTTTCAAGAAAATTTGAGAACAGGTATACTGTCTGTGATTATAAAATATTTTAGCATAATCAGTACTTAAATGTTTTCATCATTCCTTGAAGAAAAATAACTCTTGTGTAATACTGAAGTACAAATGGATTAAGAAATAAAACTGGATTTGGGACTAAGTAAATAATTGCTCACCTTTTCTCTTTTAGGTTTGGAAATGATCTGCAAATTTCTGACAAGTTATTTGTCTTGGATGCTGGAGCATCTGGGTCTAAAGATATGAAGCTTCTCCGAAATCACTTGCAAGAAATAAGAAGCCAGATAATTTCTGTAAGTAATGTCTAATGGTCTACTGAGTAGGGCCTGCCAAAATGTGAAAATCTTGTGTAATAATTTCTTATTAATTTAGTGTTTACATTATGAAACTTAAGGAAATGTGTGCTGTTTCAATTTTTTGGCAGCATGCATGACAGACTTGGTGATAAACTCCTGACATCAAAGATTCAGTCAGTATTTTCAAAATTGCAGGTGTTTTGTACAGGTCACCAAGATGATCTCTCTTGAAGGGAAATTATTTGAGAATTTCATTTCAAAGTTACAGTTTCATATTTTGAATTGACGGTGATTGGATTCCAGAGTTGACAATTTTTTTTTATCTTTTTTTTTTAATTGGTGTAGTGTTACAGAGAAACAATATATTTCAGGCAAATAAGTTTTTCATTTAAAAAACCAACCGGAGTAGTACAGTTTCCTCAACTTCTAGAAAGATAATTCCCAAAATAGATGTGTGAACTGAATATATAACTTTTTACCGCACTCTTTAGCTGAAAAATACATGCTTGGAGTTGTATATATATGCGTATAGGTATATGTACATGAGACTAAAGATAAAATAGCCATAGTTTGATGTCATCGCCATGAATCCACAGAGACTTCCATACTGAGGGTGGCCAACTCAAGTTGTTACATAGCCTGTGCTAAATGGATTTAAAGTTCTTCATACCAAAGGCCCTCTTACTTGTGTGACACACCAACAAGACTCTTTGCAGCTACTTCTGATAGGTATTTTTTAAAAAATGAATTAAAAGTGAAGGTATTACTGAGTTCATTCTGTAGGTCAAGGAAAATGTTTGGGCTTATGCAAAATTCAGCCTATTTTACGTTCCCAACGCTCTCTTGATTTAATAAACTTTTATTCTCTCACAGAACTTTATTGTAGTGGTGGTCACTAGCCTGAAGTCTGGAAGGCTTTGCTGCATTACAAGTGCATCCTGTGGCTTGAGAGTGTAGGATGAAGCCATCAGTGATGTCCAAGACAATCAATAGATAAAAGTACCATCTTTATTTCTTATCTGGTACTCTGCTGTCTCACCTGTTGAAGTAAATTGGTCCTGTACAGGTATTGATGGGTACAGATTTTAATTAAATGTTGACAAATTCTGAAATAAAGATTAACTTCTAGACTCATGAAGGCAGTTGGTACACCTTGAAGTCACTGTTTCAGGTGGTCAGCACATTTAAGAAGGCAGGACTATATAAACCAAACTGTATTCCATGTCATGATTCTCTTTCTAATTGTGGCGATGTTTGGAATGTTTATTTATTTCAGCAAAAAAGTTCTTTCTGGAATTCACTTTATTAACAAAAGTTAGATCTCATGGCAAATGAATGCTAGATGGAAGAGTAAGGGTCCGTCACAAGGGGAACTCTTTAGACATGAATATACATCATGAACGTGTTAGACCTTGTAATCTCTATTAAAACAAAAAAACCAACAACAATAGTACTATTATTCTCAGCAGAGTAGAATTACAAATAGATGTTTTCTGTGCTTTTGTAAGACTTGCCCACCTATGACTCATCTGTGTGAAAAAATAATCTCCACACTGCCTTCTTGGAGAAAAATGAATGGACCCAACCAGCTGATGTCCTTGCAGCAGTTTGTGTATGATGTACAGGAACAGCTTAATCCCCTAGCAAGTGAAGATGACCTACGGCATATTGCACAGCAGTTGCATAGCATAGGAGAAGTAAGTGTTTTTATCTAAGTTGCATATCTTTATTAGCAAGGTAATTCTCTGGTAAAATATTGCTTCATGGGATTTAAGTAAATGTCTATAGTTGTTTTTTTTCCTCCTCCCTCTTAAGACATCATAAGAATGTCATAAGAAGAGATTGGTTAATATTGCTCTTTGTTATCATTACTGTCTTGTGGCTCCTGTTGCATTCAATATTATGTCTTTGAGATGGGAAAAATTACAATTTATTGCTGTAGTTGTAAGAATATAAAATACCCAGAAAGGGTAAGTATGCAGTCATCACAAATGAGGTAGTGCCTAATGTGTTTACTGCATATGAGAAATTTATTCTTAGAAATAATTTTGAAATTGAATCGTAGGATAACACCTTTGCATAAATAGCTTGTAGGGCATGACTAGGCTTTACAGCTGTTGGGCTCTAATGGCTTCGTTACTAGTGGAAATCAAGAACAAGATCTGCTCTTTGTTCTGAATGCTTGCAAGAAATTAAAATGCACTGTTTGTTTTTCTCCTGTCAGCAGTGTTGATTAAATGATTGGGTCAGTAAGGAAGGAGAGAAGATGGGGTATAATCTCGTACTTCACAAGATGTAAATAGTAACTTTCATATTTATAAACAGATTAACATTATACAGAGTGAAACTGTCCAAGATGTTGTGCTTCTGGATCCTCGCTGGCTCTGTTCAAATGTCCTTGGAAAAATCCTGTCAGTGGAGAACCCAAAAGCCCTCCATCACTATAGAGGTCGGTACACTATAGAGGACATCCAGCGTCTGGTGACAGATAGCGATGTGGAAGAACTGATACAGATTTTGGATGCCATGGATATTTGTGCAAGGGACCTTAGCAGTGGAGCAATGGTGGATATTCCTGCTCTTATAAAGACTGACAATCTCCACAGGTCTTGGACAGATGAAGAGGATGAGGTGCTGATTTATGGTGGTGTTAGAATCGTTCCTGTGGAACATCTTACCCCATTTCCGTGTGGAATCTTTCATAAAGTTCAGGTGAATCTCTGCAGGTGGATTCATCAGCAGAGCACAGAGGGAGATGCTGATATACGTCTGTGGGTAAACGGATCAAAGATTATGAATCGTGGAGCTGAGCTTTTAGTGCTGCTGGTCAACCATGGTCAGGGTATAGAGGTTCAAGTTAGAGGACTGGAAACAGAGAAGATCAAGTGCTGTCTACTTCTGGATTCTGTATGCAGCACCATTGATAACTTAATCGCCACAACCTTACCCGGCCTTCTGACTGGGAAATATTACCTTAGTCCTCAGCAGCTGAGAGAACATCATGAACCAGTAATGGTCTACCAGCCTAGAGACTTTTTCCGTGCACAGAGTCAAAAGGAGACATCACTAACTAACACTATGGGGGGATATAAAGAGAGCTTTAGCAGTATACTGTGTTTTGGGTGTCTTGATGTCTACTCCCAGGGAAGCCTAGGAATGGATATTCACATTTCTGATCTGAATTTACTTACCAGGAGAAAACTAAGTCGACTCTTGGATCCACCTGATCCTATGGGCAAAGATTGGTGCCTTCTGGCCATGAACCTGGGCCTCCCTGATCTTGTTGCGAAGTACAATATAAACAATGGAACACAAAACGACTTTGTCTCAAGCCCAGTCCATGCCCTTCTGCAGGAGTGGAGTAATGCTCCTGACAGCACTGTAGGTATCCTAATGTCTAAGCTGAGGGAATTAGGTCGCAGAGATGCAGCAGACTTTTTGCTGAAGGCGTCTTCTGTATTCAAAATAAATTTAGATGCTAATGGTCAAGAGGCTTATGCTTCCAGTTGCAACAGTGGCACTTCTTATAACTCGATTAGCTCTGTAGTGTCACGGTAAGAGCAGGTGTTTTGCATGGACATCTTTTCAAACTGCAGAAAGCATAAAAGATACAGTACTAAGAGTTTCTGTGCATTTTCATTTATGAGATTTTGCATCAAAGGATCTTTATCTTTCCCCAGCACCACATTTTTGTGCATAAACTTTCTACTTCTAACTGTGAATTGTTGCTCTTTATCTATTAAAAAGGCTGGTGTACTTCTGGTGTTTTGAAATTATTCCTGATACATAATGTGCTGCTTAATACTGCCATTTTCACTGGGAAGTCTTAACTTTTGGACTATGTACTGCAATTGTTTTATAAAATATTTCGATTCTACCCCTCAATGGTAGGGGAAAAGGAATAGCACATATTACCTGACATGTCTATTTCTTATACCCATTTATTTTTTCTTTTCATTGTGTCCTCTGCTTAACTTTTTTTTTATATTTATAAGGAGAGAAATCCACCATTTGTGGTCAGTCCGACTAAATTTAAAACCACATTGTTTATAGCTGAAAAAGCGAGTGCCTTTTGCAGAAGGGAGGGTGCAGTTGATTTGAATGACCCTGCTGGAGTTACAAGAACATGCTACCTCTGTTTCACTTAAATTGTCTGCATGCTTATTATTGCAAGTGGTGCTTGCCTTTCAATTTTTCCTGCACTTCTAAGACATTGGTCATGACTCACGCAGAGCATTCTTGTGCCAGTACTATGGGTATAGACGTGTGATACCTAATCAAATACAGTCAAATCATAATGTGAAAATCTCTTAAACTTGCCAATTATCATACTTCATTATTTCCATGCACCTCAGGTAAAAGTTCCTATCATTATAGAGTTCAAAGAACACAAGTATTGGATACTGCAGAATAATATTGTATAGCTGTCAGTTGTAATTTGTGTGTAACAAAGGTTTTCTACTATTAGATCCTGCATTACTTACTTCCTGTACTTGAAAACTTTGATGGGGATAAAAACAAAAAGGAAGCAAGGTTTCTTGCAGTGATAACTTTAAAACTGATATGAGGGAATATGACCCATTCTCTGTTCTAAAAAGCATGTAACTTTAATGGTGCGATGTGTGTTTGTTTATATATATTGTATGTACATATATTAATACTATTTTTTCCTTAATCTTACAATGTAGTAAAATTTTAAAGGATTTTTCTACAAATAAACTGTTGCTTGTTGCATCCTTGTCTTTTATATTCTGTAGCTGAAAGGGACCGAAACTTCTCTTTTCCTTCTGAAGTTTTGGGAACCTGCTGTTTCACTTTAGGGGTTTTCTCAATACATGGGAGAAATATTTATTTGTTTACTGCAGAGGTGGCCTCTCTGCAGCAGAGAGATTTACATTCATTTTGACAAACGGCAAGCCAAAGCACTTTGCTACATAGCTTCTCCTTTGTCTTTTTTTACAATGAACACCAAAACAGCAGATACGAGTCTGTGATCAGGAATCCTCCAGATGATGCTGTGTTGCACAGGGGGGAGAATACTGCGTTAGAGCCTGTGCTGAAGTATGATCCTTTACGTTAAGGATCCCCTCATCACATGAGGGGCTGTGCTGCTGCTGCTGATGATGATGATTTAAACTCTGGGCATCGCTCACTGAGAGCTGCACAGGCTCCGTACAGCACTCTGTGCGGGCAGCTCTGCACAGTACCTCCTCCGTGTCTATGTTGTGAAGGAATTAAACAGACTCTTCTTAAAATGCTAGTTGCCATTTCCCACTGCCTTTCTTTGTGTATTTTACCCTCGCTTCATTAAATCCTTCCCCAGATGTTGCTGGGCTCCTTTGAGGACTAGACTTTAAAAGAACATTTAACAGTGAGAAGTATGGTTAATGAGCGGTCCTACCCTGAGGTGTCTCTGCTCTGATTCTCTCCTGCCTCTGACAAACTGAGTTCAGCATCGCCCACCACTGCTCAAAGTTGCTCAGCGAAGAGCCCAGCTTTCCACAGCCCGTATTTGTGTTACCTCAGGGCCACCACCACACTTCACCTTCCAGCTGTGGCTGTGTTCTGCACTTCTGTCACGTTCTGGTATGCGGAGGGGTCTTATTCACAAGACTTTCAGCTTTTCTAGCGGGCTTCTTTAGGCCTGTTCTTCAGGTGTCAAATTTGGAGTTACCTTCACTGAGCCTTGTGTGCCTGCAGAGGAGTGGGACTTGGTATCACAAGTCCTGTGAGAGCAGAGCCTACTGTGAGATGCGTTTCCCATGCAGGGCTGTCAGTGGTGTCTGTTAGTCTGGGATTTAATTCACCGCTGTACTGCTTGTGGTGAAGTGGCAAGATTTTGAGAAACCAGGTAGCTCCTCCCCTGCCTGCCTCTCCAGGTGCTTTATGCACCCTCAAGACGCATGGGTGACTTACCAACACTGATGCAGTAATCTTTTTTGTGTGTGTGTGTGCTTTTTTTTTTTTCTTCCTCCCAACAGGGTTTTCCTGACAACACTCTGCTTCCATTTACTGTAAAATGCAGCCCTGGGAGCATAAATTACTTAGTGGATGCTGTGCTGAGTCTTTGAATGCCAGTCACAGCCTATTGCATCATTTACAGTTTTGATGGTAATAGGTTCAGGAAAGTGAATCACAGTCATAGGATAGCTTTGGATTGCTTTCCTATAAATCATGTGCCACTGACATTAGGAAAAAAAAAAAAACAAAACACCAATTTGTCCTAAATGACAGTTTTGGGGAAGAAAAAAAAAAAAGCTTAGCAATGTAATAAAAGTGGGCATCCCTTCAGTTGCCTCACTTTTATTGATTACCTGTTTTGTTTTGCGAATGCAACTAGGAGCAGAGCTTCATTCCACAATTTGTAGAACTGTGTTTAAAATGCAGTGATCCTGCCTGACTCACTCCAGAAATGGAGGAACTGCAGGTCTTTGCAAGATCAAAAAGCTTTAGCCATAAATGTAAATTATGTATAGTTCGTGCAAGACACATGGTAAGCTCGGACCCCACCAGTGAAATAAGTGAAGCTGGACATTAACCATTAGGAGTTCCTGTGTCTTCTTTGTACTTCTTTGTAGCTTCAGAGCAGAGCTTCTGAAACACAATTTTGAGGATGAAGCAGATTAGCCCCAATGTTTGTTTTCTCTTCAAAATCTTCATGTAGACAAACACTCAAGCCTGCAACACAGTTGCCCAAGGCCAAGATGCATGGCAGATGATCTTGCAGTTTAGAAATGCATGTTACTGACATCTGCACTCAAATTACAAAGAAATTTTTTGAAAAAGAAGATGGGGATGAAGCAAGCATTTTGGTGCAGACCATTTTTCCAAGTAGAGTATTTTCTCCCTGTTATGCAGCAGCATGCATGGGATAGCAACGTACTTCATATTGCTATTTGTATTAGGTTTTACTGGTTTTGCGCTCTGTGGGAGTTTTGCTGCTGACCTGACTGGTGAGTTTGGAAAGCCACAAGAGATCAGTGGCTATATGCAAATGATTTTGAGGGTGGGACAAGAAGGGCATCCAGAGGTGACCTTGGGTGGAGGTGGATATATATGATTGTTCTTGCCTTAAGAGGATGTAATCTGGAGACAGCCGCAGGTTTTAGGATCCTTGTGATTCAAATGATTGAGAAAGAGTTAATGAAGCTACAGGGGTTTAGCAACTCCCAAGTGTGAAGAGATTGACAGAGCCAGAAGGCTTAGAAAGGAACCACAGCACAGTTTCCTGTTTGGTCAGGTCTCTAGGGAGAGCGATGGTGAAGGTGAAGCTGTGGCAGCTAGCTGCGTTGGAGCCAATTCCAGGTCCTAAACCTCTGCTGGCTGCACTGCCCACTCCAAGGAGCAGTTTCCCGTTAGTTCATTGCAACCTTTGTATTCCAAAGATGTTGTGTTGCAGCACCATTGTTTAAAACGGGTGCCTCGATTTGAGTCGTGTCACTATTTCAGCTTTGCCAATGCAATGGGAAAGTTACATGCAAACTAATGGCCGAGTTGTAACTCCAAACAGAGTAATTGAAGCATGCTGTTGGCTAAAACCTCTTTTTAGGTCAGAGGAGATGGAGCAGTGCAGTATCTTCTTTGAAGGTAACATGAAAACACTATGTACAATATTAAAATTTATTTCTATCTGAGTTTTGTTTGTTAAACTCAGTCCAGCAGGTCAAAACTTTAAACAGGATCACAGATGCACTCCCATATCCTTTCAGTCTTTGCCTGACTTTGAAGGCAAGGTAGTGGGTAGAAAAGAGGAAGAAAATCAGTTTTTAACAATGCCTGAGGTGCTTTGTTTCCAGAAGGGTTACAGCCAAGCCACTCACTTTGCAGGTAGAAGTGTTTGGGTCTCCAAAAGTCAGGTGAGCTGTAGATAGAAGAGGACTGATAGTATTCCTCTGTGTGGCTACGCTGTTCATCATAACAAGTTTTACAGGAACAGTGGGGCAAGCAGGTAATGCTGCCTCAAAGCCAGATGAGGATCTCGGTGAACCTGGTTCAGGTTTGCATTAACCAAATTGACCTAGCATTTCTGCACCAGACAGACTACCCTATCCAAAACACGCGTATTTAAAGATCATTCCTCAGAATGCAAACCGGGACCCTCTTGCCCAAACTCTGGGTCCTGCTGTCACTAAGCCTAGGCCAACCTACACAACTAATACGCACTCACATCTCCTGTGCGGAGAGGAAGACTAGGAAGAATCCTGTGCAGGGAGGTATGGGGTCTTGAACAGGAATAAATGCTTAGGTGTTACCCACTGCAATACTTCAGGCTTTTCTAGGGGCTCTGTGTCCAGGTTTGGGAATATACACTCTTGCGTTTAGAGAGATCCAGAGTGCAGCTCGGTGAGGCTTCTTCCCTGTGGACTTGGGCAGTGTCACAGCTGCATATGATCAACCTCGAGAAGCTCCGGGCCATACGTGTTGGAAGTTTAGTCGAGAAGCTTCTGCTGCGCTTCAGCAGTTGAGGCTGGGGAGCGGGGGTTGACCCTGCAAAGGGAGTGGGACTTGGATGAGTGAGTAAGGACTGGCTGAGACACCAGTATGTGGTGCACAGGGAGGGGAGGATAAAGTTGTGCTTTTCAAAACTGTTCTTGGAGAAACATGGGAGAGAAAGGAGGGCTCTTGCATTTAGGGGCCTTAGACCACTGATGCTGTTAAAGGATCCCATCTGTATGACTGACTGAGTCTCCGTGTGCTTCACTTTTTGAGCTGCTCGTTGCATTGAATAATCTGTTCTTTTAGCCTGGCCCCAAAGAAGTATACTTCAGTCATTTATAGTCATTTCCCTCTAGAGATGAATC